GGTATGAGTGGCATGGTGTGGGGGAGGGAATGCTCAGAAGACAGTGTGGCAGGAGTAGGGAGCAAGCAGGTGGAAGGGGAGGGGAGGGCCAGGTCAGAACGGGCACCCCAGGGAGGGCCATGAGCAGGGGAACGACAGAACCCCATTAGGAGGTAGCCCTCCTTATGACCAGTTCAGCCTGTGGCCCCTGCCCCCCAGGGCAGGGCAGACACCAGTTGCAAGGATGATGCTCAGAGGGCTTTGCTGGGTCAGGCAGTGGGGAGGCCCTGGGCTGACCTGTGGCCTCCCTAGGCCCTGGGTCCCCAGGCCTTTCCACCAGGTGGGTGGCAAGTGATGTGTTCCCCGGGGGAAGACTACTAGAGCAAGGAGGAGGCAGTTGGGGTCTTGAATTGCCAAACCTCAGAGGAAGTTTCACCAGGAAGGAAGAAGCCTGACTGCAGAGGCTCTGCGTCACTCCTGGCAGATGAAAGAGCCCCAATTCCTGATCCTGCCTGCGGATTGCCGACTGCCTTTCACGTTGTTTGTTTGTTTTCTGTTTTCTTTTTCTGGGGAAATAGCCCCATCTCCTGGTCTTCTGTAGGCATCAGCCCTGAAGTTCCCCCCCCCCCCCCCCTCCCTTTTTTGAGCCACGATGCATTTCAGTTGGCAGCCCTGTTCCTCTCCTCCCCCGGGGGGGGGGTGGCCCCACATACTCGGCTTTACTTGGGCCAGTCAGCAAGCACGGTGGGATTCTGCTCCCCTCCTTAGGGTGGACCAGCCTTAGAGGAGGCTGGCAGACGGTCCCTGGTTACCCAGGCTGACAGGGCCTTCCTGGCTTCTTGCCTGAGGCACCGATGTCTGACGGACCTCCACCTGTATGCCTAATGACGGGTTTTGGGGAGACCTGAGCTGCGGGGCCTGGAATCATCCTTCGGCTTCTCCATTGTTCTGGCAGCCCACCAGGCTCTTAGGAGAAACCGCTCTCCAGTTCCACAGTGTCCTTCCTGATTCTTCCTTAGGCACATGCTCAGGAGTGTCACCCCATTCCTGCCTGGCCGTTACTTGGCCTAAGGGTCTGTGAGGAGAGCTTGCCATATCTTTCTTTCCAGGATTTGAAAGTATGCTGACTTTGGGAGACTAGGTCTCAAGGACGGACCCTCGGGTGTGACCACTTCGCATGGCTGGCGCCTGGATGCGCCTTGTGGCATTGAACTTCAGTGTTGGTCTCTGTCTACAGGCTAACCCTGTCCGTAGTGTGTTTCTCTTAGGAAGTCACAGCTCAACAATCTCCAGCATGTGGGGGGGGGGGGGGCGGGGAGTGGCTAGAGATAGTATTTCTTCCTTTCGGCTTGTGTATTTTCCAAAATGGATCATGACCTGGCCCCACAGTCATGGTAAGGAAAAAAGAAGCTCGTGCTGTTTTTCAGAACATTTTAGTAGTGGCCTGAAAAGCCTTGCTGTTATCAGTATTCTCCCCCCGCACACACACTTTTAGCTTGTGCCCGTCCCCTGGTGGCTGACGGCATGTCATCATAAAGCATAACCTGTGGACATCCGAAGGATTACTTGACAGTGACACCTTTTGCCTCCCCCCTTTTTTTATTGAGATGGGATTCACATAACATAAAATTAGCCACTTTAGAACCAACAGTTCAGTGGCATGAAGTACATTCACAATGTTGGGCAACCACCACCTCTTTCTAGTTCTGGACCCTTTTTATCCCCCCCAGAGAGAAACCCCTTCCATGAAGCAGTTGCTCCCAGCGCCCTCCCCCTCAGCCACTGGCACCCACTGATCTGCTCTCTGATCCTCCGGATTTACCTGTGCTGGAGGTGTCACACGATTTATAAGACTTAAAGATTTCTTTTTTTTCAAGATTTTATTTATTTATTTGACAGAGAGAGACACAGCGAGAGAGGGAACACAAGCAGGGGGAGTGGGAGAGGGAGAAGCAGGCCTCCCGCAGAGCAGGGAGCCCGATGCGGGGCTCGATCCCAGGGCCCTGGGATCACGACCTGAGCCGAACGCAGACGCTCAACGACTGAGCCACCCAGGCGCCCCAAGACTTAACGATTTCTTGATAGCAAATCACAGGTCGTGACATTCAGCGCAACGAAATGCCGAGCTTCCTTGTTACTTACAGCTCTGAAGGAGAGGAGGTGGCCACATGGGGCCACATGTGGGGGTGGGGGGGAACCTGGGGTAGGGGTAGGTAGTTTCTGCGGGGTCCCTGTGCACTGGCTAATTTGGATGATTTTTCAGGCTCTGGGGCATTGGGGCTGTCCCTAGTTGTCTGGTACCTGGCCCCAGAGTGTGGGAGCCTGATAAGGGGGAGTTGGGGGAGTGTGTTTGGTGGTCCCAGAGAGAGGGGTCCCAAAAACGGAGATAGCTGGGGTCGGGGCTTAGCAAACTGCCCAAGAAAGGCAGAGAAAAGAGAATTTGTACACATAACTTCAAAACTAGGTCAAGACAGTGCTTGTGAAATATTAGATTACATCACATAAATGGAATCATCCAGGATGTGGCCTTTTGTGTTCATGTCTGGCTTGTTTCACTGATCATGATGTCTCCCAGGTTCATCCATATTGTAGCATGGATCAGTACTTCACTCCTCTTTATGGCCAAATAACATTCCATCATGTGTACGGACCACGTTTTGTTTGGTCGGTGTCTTGGGTTCTTTCCGCCTTCTGGCTGCACTCAATCAGGCTGCAGTTAAGCTGGGTGCATTCGTTTTGATGTGAACACCTGTTTTCAGGTCTTTTGAACATATACTCAGGAGTGAAATTGCTGAGTGGTGTGATAATTATGTTTACTTACTGAGGGACCACCAACTAGTTTCCCTTTTAATTGTGAACGCCATTAAGCAGACAGACGAATAAAGCGAGCAGTCTAACAGAACACAGGGGTCCACCTCGCGGGGTTGCCAGAGGCCTGGAGCTTGCCTTATTTGCTTGTTTCTCTCTTTCTTTCTGTTTCCTCTTTCCTTTCCCCCTCCCTCCTTCTCTCGGTCTCTCTCTCCCTCTCCCCCTTCTCTCCGTCCTTTGTTTTTACTGAGATATTTTAAATTAAGTTTACACGCCATTTTCTCCCTAAGCGTTTCAAGAAGGACACTTCCTTCCATGACCCGGGGCCATTATCCATCCGACACATGAGCAGCGCTGGGCCCCACAGTCACAGTGCCTATGACTCCTCTGTCCTGCACGCCAGCATCTCATCAAGGACTCCCGTTGCACTTGACTATTGGCCGTGTACACCTCTTTTCCTCCAGAACAGTCTCTCTTCCCAGCCTCCTCTTTTCCCCGTGACACTGATACGCAGAGGAGGCCGGGTACAGCCCACCTTCTAGACTGGGCCGGTTGCTTCCTTGTGGTGTGTAATTGGTCCCCCAGTCCCCAAGATCCTTTATAAACTGGGTGTGGGGGCGCCTGGGTGGCTCAGATGGTTGGGCGTCTGCCTTCGGCTCAGGTCATGATCCCGGGGTCCTGGGATCGAGTCCCGC